TGAACTGCGTGTGTAAGTCGGTGTTGTCAATACGGGCGTAAATCGGGTCGGGTCGTGAGTTTATTAGTGAATACAAACAGTGCGTCAGCGTGTAAATGACGAGCGGGCTTACGCGGAAATGGTATCGGACGAAGGACTCACGGGGAGGATAAACCGCGAAGGGAGCGGGAGTGGGAGCGCCTTTTGTGCGCCAGCCCGGTCTTGGTCGAGGAGGATGTGCGAGTAGACCCGCCAGGCACCGAGGATGATCTCGCCGAACCAGTGGTAGAAGTGCTTTATTACGCGTCGGATGTTTGAACTGTGAAAATATAATACGGTGCGCACCCCCACATACTGCGCCGGGTCGTACACGATCACCGAAAACCCTTCGATGCGCGTGATGCACGACCCCAGGACGTCGGCCGCCTCGTCGGGGGTGATGAAGCGGAGTTGCTATGATAATAATAAAAATAAAACAAGACCAACAACGCGCCAGATAAGATTAGCGCAGAAAACAAAACACGGTAAAACGCGCACTCGCCTCGTCTGTCGCCTGCATATCCTTCCAGGCTATCAGATTCACGGGGAGCGAAAGCAGCCGGTCTCGCGGGGGCAACGCTGCGCGGTCCTTGTCCGGCGCGACGACGTAGAATGTCCCGTTCCGGAGATAGAGGTTGTCCAAGACAGTGAATCCGTGGATGTGCGCGCCGCTCGGGATGGTCGTGTGGCGTAGCCCCTCCCCCGCGGTCTCCGCATTTGCATTTGCGCTGGGATTTGGAGGAGTTGGAGCTTGAGCCTCTGGAGGAGTGGGAGGGGCAGGGTGCTCCACGGGCGCGTGCGCGGCACTGTCATCGTTGTTATCGGTACGGGTGCTGGTGTCGGTATTGGGGTACGGCAGCGCGGTGATGCGCGATCGCCAGCCTCCTAACCCACCCGAGTTGGAGCCAAAGCTCAGGTACGTGAGCAGTATCGCGGCACAGGCAAGTACAGCTAGAGAGTATCGCTTCCTGAATCTGAGGCAGGAGCTCCGAGTCGGCGCCATGGGAGCGGCGGAGGAAGAGAGGCGCCGAGAGACAGAAAGACGCTGGTAGGCCGGAACGCGAATGTTTTTCCCACCAGGAACGCGCTGATCAAAAGACTGACAGCGTCGGTTCCTTTCGCTTTTGGTTTTGAGAAGCGAAAGTGGGGAGCGCAGGGAGGACAAATGGATGGCACGACTCGAGATGAGATTGCATCGCAGCCGACCTGGTACGCCGACCTACGATACCGGGCTAGGGCATCCAGAAATATTTTCAGTTCCAAGTATCGACGGAAACGATTAATCCCAGAGCCCTGACAGAAATCTGATATCTCTTCAACCTAGCCAAGTAATTGCCACGTCCGCGCGCCCGACGAGTCCGAGTCCGCAAGTGCTAGTGCGGGGGTAGGCCTGCCCCGTTCGATGGCCGTCGGTACCATTGCACTAGCGGTAGAATCCGAGCTCGACCGAGGAGCCAGAGAGGAAAGCGTGAACGAAATGGAAGAAGATGAGGAGTATTTGCTTGTAGGGCTCCAACCATTTCCGTTTATAAACTGTTTTAAACGGTTAAAATCGTTTTTATTTACGTTTAGTTTAGGTCCTTGGGCAAACGATAAACAAAACAATTTTAAACGGTTTAAACGGTTGAATTTTTTGCGTAGCGGCTACTGCAAAGAGGTGATTCTCCATGGTCCTAATTATTGATCTCGGAACACAACCACCTCATTACGAGCCCTTCATTTGTTCCGTCCTCCCACAACCTTCCACCGACTGCCGCTTTCCGACGTGTTGACTAACATCCATTCATCTGAACAACCGTCATATAAAATGTGACAGACCGTGACGCGAAGCGTTTTCTCGCACCACCATCATGATAAGTACCCAGCCAACGCCCGTGGCAAGCCCCCTCGCGCTCGAGTCGCGCCCAGAAGACTTTAAGCTCGATGGTTCCAACTCCGAGGCCCTTAGCTCCGTGCATCGAGCTGTGATTGAAGAAACTCAGGCGCATCCGATGACTGCCGGTGAGTCGCGCTTTTTCTCTTGTCTTGACATGTCTTTGAGACGAACTGTCTGTGGAGGGCTTGTTGAAGGCGGCAACGTTGGACAGTGGTAGAGGCTAGTTATGCACTGTTTCTGCCCTAAAAAAATACCGTTTTAAATGGTTTTAAATGGTTTATAAACGGTTTACTAACCGTTTCCGTTTTGTTTACGGGGATGGTCAGACGAAAACCAAATGGTTGGAGCCTTATTTGCTTGTGTTTAAGTTCAACCGGAGTTTGATCGATGATAAATTTCCTTTCTTGGGTGAAAGCCCCTAATTGCTGATTCGGGCGTTGACGCAAGACATTCGACAATACGAACTGGCAGACAGTTTGTGTCGTGTCAATCTACTTCTTTTATCCTGGTTCTAATTCCTGATGTGTATGCGCCTGATTCTGAGTTACTAATGCAGATGGTTGAACTTGCGGCGAAGCTGCAAACGCGAGGATTCTTCTCGGCCGATATATTTCTGCAATGAGCATGGTTTCCCGTCATTCAATCAAACGTCTGTACGAGCCATGAGTATCCTCAACCTTGCACTGTCCATCTTTCAGAAGTTTCTCTGCACAAAGTCGACCTATTTAGGCCTTTTTATTCCACTTGTACGTCGATCTGGAGCTACTTGAACCTCCGTAAAGTCTACATTTCGACTAAATCAAGCCCTCGTCCATCGCGGAGGATGTAGAGAACAAACCTTGGAGACCCATCCCTGCACAACTCAAGCGACTGTCCTTCGATCGGCGGAAATTCCGATATTTCCCGTGCGTAAGGTGTTACGACTGTTCCGACTCGACAAGTGGTCCGCGGAGGAAAGGTTGAATCGGTCAGCGGCGGAGACGACGGAAACTTAAAAAGAATTCGCATATAATGTTGCCGAATAGCCTTCAAGCTGAAACATACCATTTTGATCCCGAAGAGCGTAAGAAGTTTGAAGTGGCTCGGGTTCGTAATAGACAACGATTCTTTGCGAATTTCTATTGATATCGATGTCAGAGTTGCCCTAAATTAATCAAAGAATAATGCAGGTCTTCCATCTTCAAAAAGCTTCAAAGAAGCCCGGTCTGGAGCTCGGGAGTATCCGTAGTTCGAACATGAATCCGCACCTGTCTATTTGGCGGTTTCAAGTCGATCGCCGCATTTTGCACGTCGCACAGAAGACCCGTCAGACAAAGCTGTAGCTTAGCCCACCGAACTCGACCGAGACCAGCCAGGAAAGCGTGAAACGAAATGGACAGATGATTGAACAGCTAGCGGTTTCAACCCGCTCAACAGAAACGGACTAGTAAGGCACGAGCTAGAAGGGATATACTGGTATAAATAGTGTTCACCAATTTAGAATGGCCGATCATCAATCCCTGTTGACCGGGCCACTTCCAAAACCAGCTCGAATTTTGCTATGAAGATCCTCAACTTTGCACTCTCTATCTTTCTGTTCACAAAATCCGACGTGCCGACCTTCCTGGTACCTATTGTATCTCAAATTATTTTCCCCTTGCGCGCATCCCTGAAAATGCCTACAGGTGTCTCTTGCGGTGTTGAGTTGTCCATCGCCGCGAGCCATGGGCTGCTTAATCTGGACATACGCGAATCTTCTCCAGTGCTGCGTTGCGAGCCAGCGCAAGCCCTCGGGTATCGCGGACGATGCATTGAACAAACCTTGGAGACCCATCCCTGCAGCTCTCATATCTCACGCAGAGGCGACTGTCCTTCGATGGACCCTTCTTCCGATATGTCTCATTATTTCCTGGGCATATGGCGTTGCGGGTGTTGGCATTGCGTTGTCTGCAACCATAATACTCCATAACGAATTGGAGCTGGACTCTCACTACCTCACCAGGGCTATATTGAACGCTGCTGTGTATGCGATTTTTGATTCTGGAGCCACCTTCATTGCCCGTGGCCAAGGTGTGCTCTATCATAATAATAGCTACTTCTGTTCGCACACCAAACTAATCTTCTTAGCGTCGCCCCCGGCGACAGGGCTTTGGCCACAGATCCTCAGCGCTCTCATCATTTGTACAACAATCCACGCCCAAGATTTTCGAGATGAAATCGGCGACCGGTCTATTGGACGCCATACCATTCCCACTGAAATGCACGAGACTGGCAGGATGTCCATCCTCATAGGGATAATTCTGTGGTCCTTGATTATTGCAATGTTTTTCTCCTCCTCCAATTTGGCATCGTTGCTTCTCGTTATCCTCGGGACATTGGTCGGATCAAGATTTTATCTTCTCAGGACTGTTGAAAGTGACCGCGCGAGCTATGTGGTATATAACGTGGGTCTCGTGGCAGAAGTGGTTCAAACCTGACTACCATGAATTATAGCTGTGGCTCGCTTTAGCGAGGATTGTACTCGCCTTTGCGAATTTTTAATGTTCCAACGTGTGGGTCAGGTTGAAGTGTTCACATCGATGTATCCCTTGCCACAGAATATATGCGCTCCTAGTTACGAATCTCGGTTTCTTTAAATAACGTATAATGAAAATCTTTCGTCTCGGAAGAAGCCCGTCCCTCTGAACTCGGAATTTCCTGGTCCCAAACAAAGTCTATTCAGTGGTTGTTTCACGTCCATCGTGACATTCCCGGACGTCGCCGAGCTAAGAAGGCTGACCAACGAGATCTAGATCCAATCGTGTTCTGGCCTTTCATGTTCCCCGTGCTGGCGGGGAATATTGTCGGCCGGATATATGAACCGTTTCCCCCCCGGCTTGGCGCATTAATTTTGTGCGTTTTATCAGGCTCGCAAACTTCAAAGAGCGTCGCAAGTACATAGATGACGAGGTTTGCACGCGAAAAGAAAAGACGTATGCTTCAGAAGCTTCTTCACATAAACTACCAATCCACCATTATTATGTGCAAGGACAGAACGGGACCATGCGCGATCGAGTCTTCTATTGAGTTTTTTTAAATGTAATTCACAATGGTCCGGGAAAAGGGGGCAAAGCGGCGCGCAGAAGAACGGCCCAGGCTCGATTCCAACGAGCGACTCCTGCATAGAGCAATTTGCATGTGGTACGTCCTCCTATTGCGTGCAGATGCGAACCATCCGCCACTGAGCCTTTCTCAAGCCCCTTTGAACTGGATTTGGTTAGGATTGTTTGGATGAGAGATTCAAGAAAATGTTCCCAAAATGTTCCTTGACCGAAAAATAAAGAAATTAAACGCAACGATTACAACGCTATGGCCCAGGCTCGAATATTCGAACAAGCGGCTCCTGCAGAAATTCAAATGTTGCAATGAATTCTCAGAGTGGAGGTGCGGACCATCCGCCACCGGGCTTTTATGCGGTTACCCGTGAACTTGATTTGGTTACGTAGACATTCAGAAGTAGTCAGAGAAAAAAATCAAGACCCCTTCAATTTATGGGTCAAGCTCCAGTCAAACGAGCAGCCCCTGCGGAAATTGGTACCTCCAATAATCCTTCAGTTCTGCAGTGGAACAAGTGCATGGACGGACCATCTGCCACCGAGTCTTTATCCATTATCTACATTATCAAGATTTGTTATCATGGATTCAGAAGCAACCAAAGAGGAAAAGAAGAAGTTCTATTACCAACACATGGCTCGGGTTCGAGTCGAACGAGCTACTCCTGCATCCCTTTGATCATCATGACTATGTGCAACGGCAGCCACAAACCCTTTCTCCGGTATCCGACTGCGAACTTGGTTTGGTTAGAACAATATTCAGAAGGGTAGGAAAAAGAAAAAATGCTGACTCACCAAAGGTATTGCAAAAAAGACACTTGAAATTCGAATGGGTCGATTCGAACGAGCGATTCCCGCAGTGATTAAGTTTCCTACTTATGGATCAAGTGCAGATGCGGACCATCCGCTACCGCGCCTTCTCCTCGAAGTTGAGAATATTTTGTGCTATGACCTAACTTCAACTCAAATGAGCGAAAATACGTCAAGGTTGTTCCCCCTAATCGCGTCGACGCGCCGATGCGCCAGTCACATGGTCGCGCCCTCATTGGCTTCTGTGACACCCCCACAGTGACCGTCATTTTGGGCGACCATCAAACCAACGCTCCAAACTTTCTCACGCCTTACCAGAATTCGTTTCGCTCTGCGTACTTATCCTAGAACGCGAAGAGCAACCTAGCCCAATCGAAGTCATGGCCTCCAAATGGCCTCCGCATACTACGACTTTTACCGAGGGTCTTCGTGGGCTTTTTGACTGTTTTCCCCCTCTTTGCCTTTCTTTTTTTTCTTCTTCGAGAGGTTGAATTAAATGTGCACGCAGGATTGGCATGGCCCTGACGGGCTCGCTCGACGAGCTCATTACGAGCCGTGCGATCACGCCACAGCTTGCGATGAAGGTGCTGCAACTCGCTTTGCGTCTGCCACCCTCTCCCCGCTGCTTTGCCACCCCTCACTTTACGTCTGCCAATATTTGTTTGGGTCTCCGCGGCTGAGAGGCGAGTTAGCAGCTGATATGCTCATGTAGTCGTTATATTGCAGCTAGTTTGACAAGTCCCTCGCGGACACGATGGTGAAGCAGGTCAAGGCCAAAACGACGCTAACGGTGCGGTACCTCTTTTTCACTCCCCTCCTCTCCTCCGCATTGGTATTGAGTTTTTACCCTCTGCCCTTCCCCGTCCTTTCTTGCTCCACCTATCTCGGCACTCTACACCTTCACCCCTTGCCTTTTTTATTTTTTATTTGACGCTCCAACTTGCGAACTCCTCAACAACACTAACATCATCCGCTATTCCTCCCACAGGGCTACCTGTCGTCTCTGCGACAACGTCTGGACTTTCATTGTAAAACAGGCGTCCTTCAAGATGGAGCAGAACGACACCCCGCATAAAGATCATCGCGTGCAAGAATGGCGACGCGATCGAGGCGGGAAGAAGTGAGTGTGAGCGACCGGCGGCCTCGATTTCATCCATTTTTTCTTCGGCCGCGAGTCGCGGTGTGTACTGCTACTGATACTTGTGCTAGATACTAAATTATAACCAGCCTAATTCTGCGGTTACCGCCTTGCTTTGGATCGAGAGCAACGAGTGAGTTAAGTAAGCCTGACCAACGGATGAATCCTCACGCATGCTTGGTTGACTCGCTCGTTAACGCGTCCGAGTTGTCTCGGGTCCGTCCAATTTCTATCCGTCTTACTTGACTAGCAGTTGGCGCGCACGCACCGGTTATCTTATAAGCTCCCGAGCGGCTGCGTCGAATCGACACTAACTTCAGTTCATTACAATCAAAGGGTGCAGGACAAGATTTAGTTGGTTGAATAGCACCTAGACTTCCGCAGCGGCTCCGAGTCCGAGTTCGAGGTTGGCTGAGCGCCGTGGCTACTTCCAGTGGCATTGAGCACTTATACCCGTGCTTACTTAGCGTTGACATTTCTGAATCTCGACGCAGTGTACATCCACTCATCAAAACAATGAGATATCGGCGATTCGTAACTGTAATAAGGGGATTCTCACCAATTTGAACAGCTGCAAAATCTCAACTATTTTTTAACTTCCTCTTCACTACTCTTCAATTTGCTCAAGGACCCGTGGTGGATGGCCGCACCTGCGATCCGTGCCCCGTTTCAGCCGTTGCATATTATCGAACGAACAACTCCTGCATGATCCAATCAGGCCAGTCAGAGTAGGACATTCGAGGTTTCCAGGGTCGTTTCCAGGGCTGTTTCTGACGTCGTTTCCGAAGTCATTTCTCTACTGTGCACCTCCGTGCATTCCTCCAGAGCTCGCCTTTCGCGGCGAAGCTCTTCTGCGAAGCTGTTGGGCGGCTGGATGCGGGTGGCGCTGCCCATGTCCCGCCGTTGTCGCCGACCAAGGCCAACGGTACAAATGGTGCAAAAGACACCGCGAAAGACCAGACCACCAAGAAAATATCCTCGCCACCGCATACCAAGACAGCCGACGCCAACACCGCGCTCACCTCGTGCCTCGCACGCGAATGGCAGCACCACGAGCGCACGGGGATGCGTCTGCGCATGGCACACCGTGTCGCCGAGTGTGACGGGTGGGAGGAGGGGCTGGTCGAACTTGGCCCCCAGGAGGTCGAAAGCGAGTGGTTCCCCGAGAGCGAGGAACATGAGCATGACGAGGTCGAGATCGAGGTTTACGGGTGCGAGGCCATGGGTGGCGAGGGAGGTGTCGAGGGCGGGGTTGAGGAGGCGGGTCAGAGTGAGAGGGTAAAAGATGGGGAAGAAGCGGCAGTAGTAGCGGTGGAGGGCGTGGGGCTTGCGATCGGACAGAGTCTCAGCTGGCAGCGGGACAGCGCGCCGAAGGATAAGTCCAGTGTGAATGGGAACGGGAAGAAGACGCCGGCGAAGGGCGGGATGACGACGGGCAAGCCTGCGGGGAAGCTCTCGCAAAAGACCTGGATGAGCGGCTGCTCGATACGACGGGCGATATTTCTGGCGTGTGCGTGGCAAGCTGGGGAGGAGGTTGGAGGCGTGGTTGACGGTGACGGGGGCGGAGGAGGGGGAACGGAGACGACGCTCACGAGAAGAGCATAGAGAACGGGTTCCGGAGTTGTTGGCCGAAATGTTCCGGCGTTAATTCAATCAAAAATAGTTGGATTGTCGTTTTCACGCGTTTTTTCGCTGTTTGGTGTTGCGCATGTTACAACTAAAATGACGCACCTCTGATGGTTGCTGTCTGATATGATCCCTCTCATTGCCCAAAAAGTGTTCTGTAGTGCGTTAGTACAAGGCCCCCGGCCATTTCGGCCATGCTTTGATGGGATTGGTTTGGTATGCACAATTGAGCAATCGCTTGTCAATGTCAATGGGTGCAAATGTATACGGAAGAGGTTTGAAGCTCAATGTTAAATGGCCTAAATACTATCTCATTCCCTTGCGCATCTCGAGAATTACAATCAACCGAAGTTCTCAGGTATTTCGGCAATCTCAGAGTAATAGTAAGATACAATTTTGCTCACCTACCCTTGACATATTCTTTTTGATCGCTGGCACGTAGAATCAATCTCTCTTGACGAACGTACACTTGAGTATCAAAGTGTTTCACCAGTGAAATTATACAACAAGAAATTTTGTTTCATCATAAATTCCCGACGCCTTTATAAACTCTTCTAGAGTTAAATTTCAAGTGAAAGGCAACCTGTGCCCCAATGGTGTAGTATGGTCTATACTCGCTACCTTCACATTTCCAAACGGCTCGGACAGAAACTGTGGTCGGAATCCCCCGCCAATGTCATCAATCCGAGTCCGAGAGTCCGAGTCGTCTGTAAGGGCATCGGCTGTCCTTCGTCTGTCCGTCTCAAGATTCCACCAATTGTAGCACCGCCGCATCCTCGGACGCGCCGTGTTTGCGGAGGATCTCGACAACGTTGTGGTGGCCTTTGTCGAGTGCGAGGCGCAGTGCAGTGCCAACGTCTCCAGAATCTGCATTGATGCTCGCTCCCTTGTCCAGGAGAATCTCGACTATTTCTGCACGCCCGCACTGCGCCGCAAGCTGTAAGGCGGTTCCATGTTCTTCATCATCGGCGTCGACGTTTGCACCCCTGTCAACGAGAACCTGAACCGTCTTTATCCTGCGCATGCGGTCACATAAGGCTACGCTCTGGTCCCAAAGTGGGTCCTCAAAGCTCGCAGCCTTTTGCAATGCAGTAGTATCGCCAAATCCCCACCACGGGATGTTGTTGACATCTGCACCGCGGTCAAGAAGTAAACCCACGAACTCGTGGTTGGCGCTTCTGGCTGCGGCATGCAGTGCTGCGCCCATTTCATTGACGGGGAGTTCATTGTCGATGAGAAGATCAATAATAGCGGCTCTCCGATCGTTGGTTTTATGCTGGCCCCCTCGTAGGTCTGAGGTTGCGCGCAGGACCTTCCCAAATAAGCCTGGGTTATAAGGAACCTCGTTAAACAGGTGACGGACAACCTCCAGCGTGCCGTCTTTGAAGGCCTCTGCCAATCCAGGGCGAAGGTCATCATCAGTGATAGCTCCATTCTTGAGCAACATCTGAAGTATTTCTGTGTCCTTGGTCCACCAGAACACCTCGGCAACTTCCTCGTCTGGTGCATTCACCAGGGCACCGTGCTCAAGCAGGATCTGCACGATCTCTGTGTGCCTCTC